CTGGTCTCCTTGTTATATGCTGCCATCTACTATTTAAAAAGAAAAGTTCAAAGTATATTATAAAGGCATTTTTATCCATTTACGGTTGAATTTAACGATTTCAGATGCGATTCAAGTTGGGTGTTCCATGTAGTGGAACAGAAGTGTCCATGTAGTGGTTCAGAAGTGTACCACTACATGGAATCCTACAAGTCCATGAAGTCCATGTAGTGGAACAGAAGTGTCCATGAAGGGTGTTCCATGTAGTGGAAACTGAAGAAGTCCGCACTTGCCCTCACCGGAGTGTTCCACTACATGGAACACTCCGGTGAGGGCAAGTGCGGACTTCTTCAGTTTCCCAGTTTCTTCAATTCTGAAATATTCTACAGCTGCTCCGAACCATGGAGGTTAGAATAGATGGAGTAAGCCTTCTCCGTATGTCGCATGCAATGAAAATGAAGCCATGAAACGTCACTGTGTGACTTGACAACTGATAATGTCATTTTCTGTAACTGAATAGTCAGCCATGTTGTAGCCATGCTTAGGGTTGCAATTTAGGTTTGGGGCGCAATCTTTGGCTCTTTAGCGGTATTCACTAAAACTTTATTATTTAACATTCTAGATAATCCAGACTTCTGATTTTTCGCACTCTAAAGATGTGTGCCCTTTTCCCCCTTCTTTTATCTGCAGTTTAGCTTCTTTCTCGTACTAATTCAGAAGTCAAACAACAAAAATCAGCGTTATATTTACAAAATTTTCACAGGACTAGTTTTGATGGTTTTACCGAACCACTATCCTCAGCTGCAAAACCGCAAATGAACAAGATAGGAAATAATGATTAGATAGGATAGAAAGCCTGGACAAGAATAAGCAAGTGCACCATCTGTTGGTGAAAACCAGAACTAAACATAATTTCTTTAATGGCCGAAGGCAAATTTGGATGGAATTAGGATTGTTAACTAGAGCAGAAAAATTTTTATGAATGTCAAAATGCCCTTTAGAAATACAGTTCTCAATGGAAGATGTTTTTGAATAATTTTGGGCAGCAGAAAAATTGAAAGTGTGATTTTCGGACCAACAATGTTGAGCAACAGAAGACTTCTGTGTTTCCTTTTTTCTAAACATATGCCTCATGTTCCTTGACGCGATATTTTTAAGGCTCTCTTAGTTTGGCCAATGTAAATTAAACCACACTGGCAAGGAATCCTTAAATACCCCAGGAATTCATAACCGGAATGGGGTAAACTCGGAATTTATTGATGGGGAATCAACACCCCAAAGTTATTTAATTCTGCAAAAATGTGCAACTTTATAGCTAATTGATGGAAAAGAAGGGAATGACAACAGAATTTTTATAATCTCCTAAAAGAAGAGTGTGCCTTTTAGTGTGTTGAGATGAGAATTTTTTTAACTGCTTGATTAATAATGTTGGGTGAAAAGCCCCTGTCAATAGCTATTGCTTTTAAATAATTTAGTTCTTCATCAAGGGCTAGTTTGGAGGAGCACGGAAAACATAGGAATAAAGTGAAGCTAACTTTTGTTTAGTCGGATGACATGATTTAAAGTGTGGTGGAAGGACAACCGATGAAGGTTTACGGTAAACCGTAGTACTGAAGTTGGATGTGTTACGTGTGACCAGAATGTCGAGAAACGGAAGAGAATTGCAAGTCTCAAGTTCAAAAGTGAACTGAATATAGCAGGATCAATAGAATTCATTGTTGAAAGAACTCTATTTAAAAATCATCTTTATTACCTTCAAACAGGGTAAAAGTATCGTCTACGTAGTGGAACCATGCCGGGAAGTTTAAAGTTTCCAAACAATTTTGATTCATAATAATGCATGTAGATATCAGTCAGGATGGGACTGAGGGGCTTCCCATGGCTACTCCCTCAGTTTGCTTATAAATATTTATTTTGGAAAACAAAATGTGTTTGTTTCAAACAGAGTTGAGCGGAGAAATTAGCTCATCAATTTCGATGCAAGAGAAATGAAATTCGCGGAGTCTGGTTTCTAGACATCTTAATGCACCCTCACTGGACATTGGTGAATAATGATTTTACATCAAAGAAACATGTGTAAATTACTAGGAGAAATGTTTTAACCTTTTTTACAAACTCTATTGAATTTTTTTGGTGTAAATGTTATTGTCTAATCGAGTGAAAAATCTAGAAACTAAATATTTAGCTAATGGATACAGGCAGTACCCTAAATTTGATACAATAGGGTGGAAGAAAATACCACTTTTATGAATTTTGGGAAGAGCATATATTCTTTCTTGAAATTTTTTAAACTGCAAAATTCTCATATGATTCAAGTTATTTTAAGTTTTCTAAAACATTTTCATATATGATATTTTCAAATTTATATATTAATTTAAAAAAAACTTCTTTTTGACTTCCTTTATTAAATTTCTGTTTTTACTTTTCAATTCATGCATAATGTAAGGCATCTCAAAATGTATTTTTTGACAAGAAATTTCTCGCAACCATAATCTAAATTTTGCATGAGGTTATACTGGTTTTGAAATCACATTTTCATATTTATTTAACTGCTTTTCTTTTATAATTCAAGGTAGTTTCATGTGTTATATAAAAATTATAAGCTTTTTCAATACAGTATTTGTATGATAATTCTTAATTTCTCAACAATGGCATTTCAGTACTGATGGAGTTAAGCATATTACTTTTATTTATATTCCACATTAAAATATTCAGAAGACATTAAAGTTGTGGATATAAATTGATATGAATACAACTTTAGTAATTTTTAAGTTTCTAAACAAATACTTTTCTAAAATAGCAAACAAATTTTACATGATAAGTACATAAATGCATGCTGATACTTTAATGTATCTAGCCAGTTCAAATTTTAAACTTCTGAAAAATTTAATAGCTTATCTGCATAATATTCTTGTTTCTTATTTTTAAGTCTACTTCTTGTTTTTTATTTTTAATAAGCAGTTTGAAGTTTGCTCACATAGAATTAAATATCAATTATTGTAGCAAATTCGTTAAAAATGTTATTTTATGTGTGTTTCCAGCAAAAGGCAGCTAAAGGCTTTATAATTTTAAATACTGATTCAAGCAAACACATTTGAATTATAATGTTTGTAGAATGAAATGCAGAACTATAAAAACTATTTTCAAAGCTCTGATGACAGTGGAATTGTATATTAAAAAAAATAAGTTTTTATATAGATTTAGTGGAGCAAAAATTTCATATTAAAAACACTTTTTTTGTTCTTAATTTAACTAAAAACAAAATAAATACATGTAGGGTTATACATACGAAAAGCACATGGAGCATGAGATAAGAATAAACTAAACTAATTTATTTATGAATTTACTAAGATGAATGAAAGGATGATAAATAATGAAAGTGAATATTACAGTTGGTAACCCTAAAGTCAATCCAGATACAGTTTATAGGATAGTTTCATGCGATCCCTGCAGTCCATCATCTCTGGCAGAAATCTCTCAGCTATCTACAAATGGATTGTCAATTTGTCCGGGATACATAAAGCAATAACATTTTTGCAGAACTTCTGGAGTACGAGCTCTGTGCTTGTCTCATAAAACATCAGCTTTGCTTACAGGGAAACCTGTCCGTTCCCTTAAATCTCAAACACATAAGTTTCCGTTACGTGGGACTGGACATCGAAAGGGACAATTTGCAGAACCCACACATTTCCATGAAACTTAGGTAGCTAAATTACCATTTTTACTTATTAAACACACTTGAATGCCAAACAGTAATCGATTATCACTGACTGAGATCACATGATCCTTCAGACGCAGAACTTTCGTCTGATTGCTTGATCTCTACCCAGGACAGAGCTGTAGACGAAACATTTTCAGCGAGGTTTAAAAAAAATCCTGCGTAGCTGGTACATCGTTTCCGTAGCTAGGCGGAGCTGTTTTTTCTAGGAATCCCCCCCCGCTTAAACCAGTGCTACGAGAATCTCGTTTCTGAGAAAAGTCCCGTCTAGCAGGACCGTCGCTAGATGTGATAACCCCTTTATAAGTCTAAACATCATCTACGCACCTTTACACCTCTGCGAGCTGTGCTGAGATGGTGGCAGATGACATCACATCTCGCTGGCTATTCACCGACTATTTCCCACATATATACATAAATAAATAAAAATTATACCTTTCCATATTGAATGTACAGATACTATTTACTAATATATTTATTTGCTGTTGATAGTTACTTTTTATAATAAATAGAAGAAAAATGCTGATAAATTTTTAAGAACTTACATGCATTAAATGTGGGGAAAAAACATGCATATTTTAATATTTAATGATAATTTGGTACTCTTCTGTTATCAGGACCAGAATCAGAAATGTATGTATGTGTGTATATATGCACACACATACATATGCACATACATCCATATACATATGCACAATTTCTGAATCCGGTCTTGATAACAGAAGACTACCGATAATTCCATTACGTAAGATTCAATCTATATCACTGCAAGAACAGTGCTTAAACCACAGATCTTCTCATTAATTAATTTGCATAAGTAAAAACATAAAAATATTATTTAACATATATAAAACACATCTACTTACAGTAAAGCAAAAATTGTAATTTTTTTCAGTCTTTTTTCTAGCGTAGTACAGTTTATTCCATTATATTCAAATTTTATTAAAACATGCTTCAGTAACTCGATTTTTTCCATAATACGAATCATTTATATAGAATGATATTAGTCCTACTTACTGAATTCTTATTTATATGGAGATGCCAGAATAAATGCAAAAAACTCTCTGAATAAATCTTAGCCAAATCTGTTAATATAGTATTCTTGTTTTCAATAAAAAGTTCTTAAGGTATATTATTTTAGTTTATTTCTTTTTTTATTGAAGAAGCTAACCTAAGAGACTTATTTCATTTACATATATCTCATTAATATGTTAAAAATATAGCTTAATTATGTAAGTAAGTTTTATATGCATACTGAAAGAGAGTAAAAAGCCTTGATTCAAAATCTTTCTAAAGCAATAAGTAAATAAATAAAATACACTGGTTTTATTAGCATCTCAAAAAAAAAATACTGTTTACATCATGGTACATAACACTCTAATGAAAAATCCTGCAAGTCATTACAATACTATAAGACACTGATTTGTAAGGTAAACATCAGTTGATCATACTTTCACAGTACAATAAATTTTTCATTTAACATTCTTAATAATAGGCCAAAACAGATTTACTATTGGTGCCTCAGTTCACACAAAAGTAAATTTGATTTAGCAGACCACGAAATCTTCCATCACATAAAAGTAACTGCTACATGATGGAAATTTTTGTGAACAAAATATAAACATTTATTAAATACTAGGCATTAAAGACAAACTGCACTTCAAATTAACCTAATAATGATAAAAACAGTAATATACTGAGCATTGCAAATTTACTTTGTATAATATTCCTATGCAAAATCTGAAATTTATAACAAGTGAAGGACTTCACAATATTTAAACAATCAAGCATTACTTAACTGTATTTACTCATGTATTCTCCTCTCTCCCTCGTAAGTCTGTTGGTAATCAAACAGATTATTATGCAGTATATACCACTTCTGAAGGGAAAGACTTAGACGAGACATATGGGATGTTAAAACATACATTTGCATTGGTTTATTATTATTAAATTACCATATTATTGTATTATTCATTATTAAAGCAATTAATTTCAATACTGTTCTTTTACTTACACAATGTATATTCCAATCTATTTATCTAAAATTTAAAAATTATGTAAAAAAGCAATTTTAGTTTAATCTAGATTTTGAATATTACTCTGTGGACTTCGAAGACAATCAGTTACCGATTTAGGAGCAAATTTAAAGAAAAGAGATCAATGTTTGATTGTCCTCGAAACTAGTAATTTTATTCAAAAACTACATCAAATTGAGGTTGCTTTTATGCCTAATTTTAAGTATATAATTATAATGATAAAATACATATTTAATTATATACATAATAACAGCAAAGTTAAAACCAACATAATGAATTATTATCTAATATAAAATCACATAATGCCTTAATCATTAGCTTATAATTTAAAATATCTTGCTTTCTTACTTTCTTTAATGATTTAAATATCATATTTTAATTCATGAAAGTTTGTGAAAACAGAGACTAAAACGAATAATTATACAAATTTAATTAATGAATGCCATTCAAATAAGGATCTTGATCAGATCCAAAAAGGCATGCCAAAGTTAAATGTTTTGAATTTTGTTGCAAAGGTACTTTTGTCAAGTTATACCTAAAACTAAGAAACCATCAGTTCTCCATCCCCAATGGGCCCTATAATATGGTGAGAGCGTAATTATAGAAATTTTTGCAGTTTTTATGCTCTTCCTTTACAACGTTCTTTTTAAGAGCTCTTAAAAACTATTTGCATGTTATTCGATAGTTTATTTATAATCACAAACGCATTTATAATTACACATATGTATTTCGAAAAGGCAATAAAAATTAACAAATTCAAAGTAGGTGCCACATAATGTGATCATACTTGTTCATGGCTATTTTGATAATATTAACTTAATGATAACATTACAAGATGAAAAAGTAACGGCCTTTAAAAAAATTTCTTTAAAGTTTCTGAAAATTATTTGACTGATTCTATGTCCCTAATCTTAATACTCGGAGTGCACCCATCATTGGAAGAGAAATAGCCAATGCAAAATTTTAAATTATGCAAATAAAGCAACCTTAGTTAAAGGCATATATGTTTTTAGGGAATGTTTTTGGAAAGGAGAGATTCTGTAGAATTTTATTTTACTCCTTAAGAAGAATGACTGGCATCTGATTGTTCTCAAACTGGATTTGAGTTATTGAAAAAAAAAAAAAAAAAAAAAAATTGGGGGGGGGGGCTGATTTTAAATGATTGACTGGACTATAAACTAAGCTGTTAGGTGAATTAATCCTTACTTGGCAACATTTCTTTGTCACTTGGTAATTTTTATAACCAATTTTGAATTTCTCTGGTGACTTTCCTACAATTTGAAAAATTTATTCTATAATATTTTGGTCATATAAACCGAATTGCTAATCACAATAAGTGATATATTTTTCATGTTTTTGAAAGCAAATAGACAGGACTTTAGAAATTCGATAACAATATTCAAATGATAACATTAATCACAATCACATTAAGCAGTGTCTACTGTATTTAAATCACACACATATCTTTGGTGAAATTGGCATATATTACACTTGGAAAGCACCATTTTAAAATACAGTACAAAACACATATGTATGAAAGACATTTATTAATTTACACAAACTGCAGTTTTTACAAAAATACATATTTTTCAAATCATTAATTTATTAATTATTTAATAATCTTATTCTTCTTTTACACTATATATTCTCCATGAAATAACTTCTATGTTTACTAGCAATAACAACAGGCATAAACAGCAAACATTTTTAAATTTTGCAATAAGAGTCTACAGTATCAAACAAACAAAATTTTCAGCAATTGTATTTTTCTAAATTGCAAGAGTTATATTAATCAGGGGAATAATCTAATACATGCAGTGAAACTTTTCTTGTTGTCGTATCTGTTTTTATCAGTAAATCTTGGTCTTCATAAATTTCTGATCTGAGTTTTGTGAATGATGCAGAAACACACTTTAGGTATGGCATTGCACGTATTTCACAGACTAGTTTTGCAATATTCTCAACAGTAAAAGGCACTCCTCCCATTCGTAGGCACCTAAGAATGCAATTTTCTTAATGAGAACTTAACTTCCAAATAGTTCATGATGTATGCCATAAGCTAAATAAGTGAGAACTTAAACAGTTGCAGTACATTCCTATAAATAGCAATTCTCTCCCAAAGTTTTTTTTTGGGGGGGGGAGATCCAGAAATAAAGGAGATAATCCAGAAAAATTCACCAAATCTCATATCCAAATGAAAAGAAAAGTTACCGAATCTGAATTTGAATGATTTTATTATGTCAACAATTCTACAGTTTGGGATTTTAATAATTAAAGCAAATGCTTTAAAGAGATATGGGTTAGTTCATATGAAATGACATAGGACAAAATTAATTGGTCACTTGAGAATTTAAAATCAGTTCCTCACACAGCACTATTCCGATAATCTGCAGCCCCTTAATAATACACACTCAACCTTAAATTAAAAAAAAAAAAAAAAAAAAAAAAAAAATTCGGATTTTCAGAAAATTTAGCATATTAAATTTATTGATAATTTTTTTCCAATATTCAAATCAAAATTTAAACAAATTACTCTATATTCATAACATACTTCGATTAAAGAAGCTATTTATTTTATTACTGAAGTTATTTTACATCTTCTGTGTAAGCTTTTGTCTAGTAATAGTTGATTAATCCCAAATTTGAACAGATCATGAATTTTCAAATTTTTCATTTTAGATAAATGAATAATTTTAAGTGTTTTACAAATGTCTTTTAATATTAATTGCGAATTTATGTAGTTAGGAAGTGTAAAGAATTCATTTATCCGAACAATGAGTTCCAATAGAAATAAATCTCATTAATCAGTTATGCAACAATCTAGAATTTCACAATTTGCAAACTGCAATGTATTTAACAAATATAAAAAAGAATATATTTTAGAACTTGAGCCAGCTTTGCAGTTCTGTATTATACCTGTGGTCAAACCTGAGAACTAGCAAACCTTAACCGTTTGGCCACTGGTGAAGCTTGGCAGTAGAGAACGAAAAGATTTCAAATGACTATTTACTGGAATTCTCCCCTTGATAAAAATTACAGTAGAATGTTGCAAATGAACATGAAATTATATGTTTCTATTAAGATAAAAAAATTAAACAATTTATTTTGAAAGAAATGCTTTAATAAAACAAAATGAATGTTAAGACTGAACTTTATTCTCTAAATTTTGGTTTTCTTAAGGTCATGAAAGCACTTATTATTTTATGAACAACCTTTCCATATAATTACTAATTTAAAATCTGAAAATTTCCAAATTTACCGAAATCCCAATCATTCCAGATTGCAGACTTTTCACTACTTATGGATCTATAATACAGAACAGTCTTCACAAAAGTGATTTTAACATTAACTGCTAATATACTGTACATTGTGAGTATACTGATTCAAAATGCTCATGGCACATCTTTGCTCACGTTAGCAAAGATGTTTCAAATGCAACCTTGTTTGAGAACTTAGACTGCAAAATGTCCATCTAATGCCTAATGCTGAAATTATATCCTTAAACATCAGAAAACAAAAGGTTAGTCACAGATACAGGTTTTGATTTCTTTTAGAATGCATACATTTCACCCAAGATACTGAAGAAATTTGGGGGGGGGGAGGACTAAAAAGAAAAGGAAAGAAATTGAACTTGAAAACTGTAGTAATGAAAAAAAAAAAAAAAAAAAAAACCCCACTGCTTTGCAATTACGCAGATATTATTTCAGAGTGTGCTAACATGCATCGCTGCACAAATACATAAATTTTAAAACATATAACAAATTGATCTTGAAATCGCCAAAATGTTGATAGCACCGCATAATAAAAGAACTCATATTTCAAAAAAAGGAAAAGTTTTTTTTGATGTAATATTTTATGAAATCTTCATTCCCCAAAAAAGAAATAATTTTTTAAATGTTTAAGTTTCAATCAAGGCAGCGCATCGTGCCTAAAACTCAGATATCCAGTACATTTAGTAAAGAATTCAAATACAGTCAAAAGTCATTAATTCGGACACCCATAATCCGGAATGATCTATAATCCGGACCTCAAAGCTACAAACGTTCTGCACATGCGTCGCGTTGACGCATGCGCGTAAGACCTTTACCGCTGCTAATTTGCGTGTGCACGTGCGCAAAATACGTTTACGAATACGCGTTTAATGTATAACGGACGGGATAAGCTAAGCTAAAATTATCTAATTATCTATTTCAGTTAATGTTGCAGATTGCGTTGTTCCTTAATCTTCGAATTGGATCCGGATTATTATTTTTGCAGACTGTTAGAGCAATTTTATAAAAGTAAGCTTGAACTTTCGATTATGTCAAATAGAATTTCCGATATATATTTACTAATATGTAAAAGGATATACAAAGCGAAAGTATCTCTCGGAGTCCATTAAACAAAAAGTGGAATTGCTGCAAAAAATGGATGAAGTTTACCTAAACTTTAACGTTTGTTTATCTAAACTTTGTTTATCTTTAACGCGGCGGTGGCGTGCATTGAATTGGAAGTTGATCTGTCAGCACTATCCTTATCTTAAGAGCAGATGTTTTTATTTTATTTGGCTTATAATTGCTTACTCAATGTAGTATTTCATCTCGTCTTTGATATGATTTAAATCAAATGCCTCGTCATTATAATTCGCTTCCGATAGCGAAGAAAGTAACAGAGGTTATTGAAAACGAAAAAATTTCGATTGACAAATTAGTCGGTATTCTCGACACAGCAATTATAGGACTTGAACAGCAGAACTTTGTAACTGAACAAGAAATTATGTCTGTTTATAGAATTAAAGAGAATGTATTATAACATAAAAAACGAAGCAACTTAAACAACTTACATTGAAAGAAATGTTTAATAAAGTAACAAATAAATATTAAGCTTTTTTTTTTTTTTTTTTTTTTTGTAAATTTTGATACCCTTTAGATCATAATTGTTCTTTATTTCGTAAATTACGGTTTCATATTTTTAATTTTATAATTTCTGCATGCCATTTTACCAGATTTAAACTGATGATCTATAATCTGGAATCGCCGAAGTCCCGACGAGTCCGGATTAACGACTTTTGACTGTACGTATTTGTCAATGGATCGGCAAAAAATATTCCTCCAAAATGTTAATTCACACTCGAAATAGCAGTTGTAAAAATAAAATAAAATAAAAATCAGACGGAAATGTCAGATAAGTAAAATTAAGACTTTTTGCGCCCAAAGTAAGGATTTTTAAGGGCAAAAAGCCATTTCTAAAAAATTTAAGGCAATAAGATACAAGTTTTGTCTAAAATGACTATTCATTTTCTGGATACAGCATTGATTATCTGAGATACTTTTCATGCCAAATAATACTAAAACATACGGCATGAAGAAATAATAGGTCATTAAATTCTATTCATATGAACTTCCTAGACCACCATCATCTTAACAAATAAAGATACATTATAAACTAAACACATTAATGTGATTTTGAGAAAATTGTAGTTCATACAAACACATTATTTGTCTTTTTCCCAATTAAAATGATTTAACTGAAAGACTGAAACATTTAAAATGACAATTGTCATGCTCACAACCATTTCTGCAACAGTTTCAAGTTTAATATCCCCCTCCCCCCCCAAAAAAAAAAAAAAACCCTGTTTTGCTTCTTCCCACAATTTGCATAACGAAGTACTTCTACAGTTTTGGTTCATGCTGTTAAAACAACATTAATTTTTTAAGTAAAACTTAAAATACTTACTTCAGTTTTTTCATTTTATGTATTTGTGATATGAAGGGAGTCAAGTCTGTTTTGGATATGCTATAGTCCATATAAAGTACAACTAAATTAGAAGCCAATAATTCAAGACTTTCACCCATGCTAGAAAATATAAATGTGTTAAACAGCTTAAGAAAAACATGCTTAGTAACAAAGGTGTAATATATATCATAATTAACAAAAATACAATCATACAAAAATATTTTGGTAACTTTTATTTCATATACATGTAATCATTTTGTAATACTTAAATGATCGATAAATCATTCTTTTTTTTTTTTTTTTGAAAACTTTCCTTACCCCCCCCCCCACTCAGATTATGTTACACCTAAGCATATGAAGGATATCTATTTGAGGGAATACAGTCAAAAGTCGTTAATTCGGACACCCACAATCCGAACTTTAAAACTACAAACTTTCTGCGCAACGCATGCGCGTAAGACCTTTACGGCTGCGAATATGCATGTGCGCATACGCATAATACGTTTACGCATGCACGTTTAATGTATAACAAACGGTATAAGCTAAGCTAAATTATCTAATTCAGTTAATGTTGCAGATTGCGTTGTTCCTTAATCTTCGAATTGGATCCGGCTTATTACTATTTTTCTGCAGACTGTTAGAGCAATTTTATAAAAGTAAGCTTGAACTTTCGATTATGTCAAATAGAATTTCCGATATATATTTAGTAATATGTAAAGGATCTACAAAGTATGTTTCGAAGTCCATTAAACAAAAAGTGGAATTGCTGCAAAAAATGGATAAAGGCACAATCCTTTGTTTATCTAACCATTCCAAAATCTGTTTGTCAATTTCACGCTGCTCTGCGGCCGAGGGGGGGGGGAACGCCGTGGCGCACAATGAATTGGAAGTTGATCTGTCAGCACTATCCTTATCTTCAGGGCAGATGTTTTTATTTTATTTGGCTTATAATTCCTTACTAAATGTAGTATTTCATCTCGATGTACTCCATCTTTGATATGATTTAAATCGAATTCCTCGTCATTATAATTCGCTTCCGATAGTGAAGAAAGTGAGACAGAGGTTATTGAAAACGAAACAATTTCGACTGACAAATTAGTCGGTAAATTCTCGAACACGGCAAAGCAATTATAGGACTTCAACAGCGGAACTTCGTGGAACTGAAAGAAGAAATTATGTCTGTTTATAGAATTAAAGAGAAAGTGTCATCACATAAAATGAAGCAACTTAAACAACTTACATTGAAAGAAATGTTTAATAAAGTAAACAAATAAATATAAGGCTTTTTTTTTTTTTTTTTTTTTTTTTGTAAATTGTGATACCCTTTAGATCATAATTGTTCTTTATTTCATAAATTACAGTTTCATATTTTTAATTTTATAATTTATGCATGCCATCTTACAAGATTTAAATTGATGATCTATAATCCGGAATTGCCGAAGTCCTGACGAGTCCGGATTAACAACTTTTGACGGTAAATGTTTTTCTGGAGAACTTTCAGAAGGAAACAAGTTTGTCTACATATTACACATCAGTAAAATCATGGAAAGCACCTATACAAACTATATTGAAGAAATAATGGCTATTTGTTTTCTAGAGAATAGGTATTTCGAAAAAAGTGGAAAGTATTCAACTACATTTGATCTGTATTTAAAGTAATTGCATGAGCTTGCACTGACAATAAAAATGATTTCAAAGCAAAAAGCAAATTATAATTAAACTTTGAATAAATTTATTTACTAATAAGGTTTACTCTTTAAATATATTTACAGAATTAATCTCTGCAAACGTTTTCTTTCTTCAAAGACATTCAACAATAATTAAAATATTGTTTTGCCATCATACAATTTAAGCCCGATAATCCAGCACAAGTAAAGTTCCATATTATCAATTAACTATATTTACCATTCTCGGCCTCGAAAATGCCAAGATGCTGACATTCCCTGCAACATACTATTACTCATTTTACTTTTTAATAATAGATCTAATTTATATCAACATATAACATACCTAATAGATGTGATTTATAATATATCTAATTAAAAATCTATAGATGCTTGAACCATCACAGGAGTTTACAAAAAATAGCCCTAATACTCAATATTACATTAGTCACAGAATAATTATTTGCATGCTGTCATGCGATGAATTTTATTTTTGATATTGTTTAGTTTTAAAAAAAATTTCCTCTGGTTGCTTTCTATTGTAACTATTTCAGCAAAAATGTATTATACAAATGAGTGGGCTAAATTTAGCTGAGTTATATGTACTGCAACTGAAGTCGGACAACAACTGAAAACATTTAAAAAACAAACATTAAATTTTACTGTGATGATTTGATGATTACCATTGAGCTGCAGTGCATGTGCATTTCAGCTGATGTATGTGAATTTAATGGTGGACAACCTGGATAGGTTATTAGCGCCAAACACGTCTTTTAAACGCAAGTTACATTTAAAGCAGTACAATTACATACAATCACAAATTTAAAATCAAATCAAAAATCAAATGAAATCAAAAGAAGCAATAAAATGGTGAAAATTGAGATGAAGTTACTTATAATTTAAATAATGATATGGGAGGTGAAGCAAGAGTAAAACTGTAAAAAATGAGGCATTAAAATACAAAGAAATAACATCAGATTAGATTATAAAACCCAGTTTCCTTCAAATAATGAAATAAATTAGCATTCGCCTCTTTCCCGACTAAACGATCAAAAGGCAAGTCACTAAAATACTTCATTTAGGAATAATTCACTAATACTTCAAAAGAAGCAATAAAATGGGTTAAAATATGAACAATCAATTAAAAAATGATACACTGTCAATACACTATCACAATGCAAACAAATAGATTATCTCTTGGCCTTTAACAGGTAACTATGTGTAACTCGAGAGTGACCAATACGAAGACGAGTTAAAATAACTTCCTCACTTTGGTTTTTGACTGATTCCCAGTATTCTATTACAGGTTTTACACTTCTAAACTTGTTATTGATCTGAGAATTCCTAGCTGCTATTTATTAAGGACTTTTTCTTTGATGAGCACTTAAGCTGAATGGCACACATTTTAACCTCTCTCTCTCACATGACGCAGAGTCGATACTATAGAAGAGAATATTACTTGAATCCACCTCACAACGGATATATCACAGTGATGCCAGAGAAAAGGAATATATTTATATTGGATTATAAATATCCTGAAGTATACATGATTATCATGAAGTATACGCGATTCATCAGAAAAAGTAAGCTTTTACTTAGTTTATTTTGTTGGAATTGAAGTTTAACCATAACAGAAATGACTGAAATAGAACTTGTGAAACTTAAAAAAGAACAAAGAGTTAGTCATTCAGCCATAACTAAAGTAACAGTTTCCACTGAATTTTTAATTGCTTCTTTTAATATTGATGATATAGAAGAACAACTAGAAATTTTTAAAAGCGGTTCATTTAAAAGCTTTGGAAAAAATTAAAAATTTAGCTGATGTAATAGAACTGAAATCAAAAGTACTCTGGAATACGAAGAAAAGATTTTCACTAGTTTCAAATGGTTCTTCTCAGTAAAGTAGTAACATACATATTATTTCTGGTGTTATTAATAGAAACTCCAATTAAAATATTAAGTTGCTGAAAACTATAATTGATAAATTTTATGGAAAAGCTGCATTGTAGTAAACGTTTCATAAATTCTTATATGGCAATAAATCAAAACGAAAAGTTATCTTCAAGTTTATAATTTCAATTATTTGCTTAATTTATTCAGTGGTGCAGCTTTAAAAACTGTCAAAGGATTTTTCATTATCTCCAGAGAATTATGACAAAATGCTTAAAATTCTTAAAGAAAGATTTGGTCAGAAAAATCTTATTAATTTGTACGTGCCTAAACTGTTAAATTTACGACCTGTCCAAAGTTCAAATGATGTTCATGCTTTGAGAGAATTATATGATACCTGTAACATATAAGTAAGGACACTAAATTCATTAGGAATCAAATCTGAGTCATATGGAAGGGTACTTTATCCTTTATTAATGAAATGTATTCCAAGGGATATAACGCTACATTTTGCTTGTCAGAAAACAGATGAAGAAAAATAAGACCTCATGAAATTTCTAAAATGGGAAACAAATGTCTCAAAAGAACTTCATTATCTTACTCTAAGAGTTATACAAACTTGCCTGAAATACATTTTATTTCCCCTAATCGAAAACAAAACAATTTCCATACTCATTATTCTTTCAATGCCAACCCAATTATTGGTGCCAATCATTCTCATAATGTAAACAAAACTACAGCTACTCAAACTTTTTCTTGTTCATTTTGTGGACAGGAAGATCATGTTTTGGAAAAAATATGTTATGTCACCAGAAGAAAGAAAAGAGTTTAAAAGAATCTGATCAATCCTTTGTTTCAAAAGCAGCTGCAGAACAAAAAATTGCTCTTCCCAATCAAAATGTAATTCTAATTATCATAACATTATATTGTTGCATGATGATAAGAAAATGTCTGATAAGGATAAAACTAAGAATAATTCTAATGACATAACCACAAAAATTTCTCATCATTTTGATGCAAATCAAGGAGCTAGAAGTGGATTAATTGATGGCTTTCTGATTGTTAAACTTATTTGTGATGGTAAATTAATTAATGCAGCAGCAGATACAGGCATGCAATTAACTGTTGTTAAGGCTGATTTTGTACCAAAAAGCCACCGTACACCACACGTAAATGTTATTACCATGTCAGCTTTCTGACTCTCTTTAAAGGTTCCTCTCATCAACTTACCTTTATCGAAGTATTCTGAAGAGAGTCAATTTAAGTCATCATTCCTTTGAATTCCAGATGTTCAGTGTACATATGTAAAGAGATGGGCAGTCAACATGAAAATCCTTTACATTGAGAAATATGATGGTTATCCTTAAAGAATGTTTCGAAGACTTTTGAAAATGAAAGAAGTTTTAATGTGTTTAAACAGTTTTAGTGATGTTAATTTGTTGATAAAATTATATTTCATTACAAGGCAACAATGCAGTTGTAATTAAAATGCAAGAAAAGATGAAAGTTGAAATAATAAAGCTCAGTTTGTGGATCCTTCATGTGGAAGCAGAAAGTTATAATGCTTTACTGAAGATAATTTTAGAGCAAAAAGTATATAATATTAGTTTACCTGACTGACTGGCTGCAGACAAACCTGAAAAAATATTTTCCTCCAATTCATACCAATAAAGTATAGATAAGAAACCCTTTCCGATTCAGAAACTGAATCCCTAATTTAACTGTCTCATGATACAGTGTTTAAAGACACTTTCAATGACATATCATTGATAGATTTTTGGCTATCCTGTCGGGAAGATTATCCATTTTTGGCAGAAAAAACAAGTAAGTTTGAAATGCCTTTTGTTAAAATATACAAATGTGAAATAGTCCCATTAACACTTGATTTTCTAAAAAATAAATACAGGAACCAATTAAAAGTCAAACCAGATTTAAGAATAAAGTTGTCATCTTTTTCTGTGGACCTGAAAGTTTTAATTAACGAGAAACAGCATCACACAATTAAAACATTTTTTATTGTTTTACATTGTTTTATATATTTTTTGTAACTTTCACAACAAGAAAAAAATTGTAACATTACAATTTATTTAATTTAGCAATAAGCCATAAACATTTTCACTGGGTTATGAAGATAACATATTCAAACAATCAGGTCACAAAAAAATTTTTGGAAAACCCTGCACTTTATATTTGGATGGTCTTAACACAAATAAGACAATTAATACATTTGACATGTGAGTGGGTTATATAAGGGTGATAAATCTCATACACAAAAATGATATGCTGTTGCATTTTTGCTTCAAAATCTGGATTTTGGTCTTTAGCGTGCACTGCTTGGCAACCAATTCAAAATAGCATCAAACAGATTGTTATTCTCTGCCGTTATATGAAATTTGAAGACAAGTGTTGACAAGATGTTGCACTGTCACTGATTCCCCTCATTTTGCCAATTTCCATGCATGTGTGTTTCATTGTTTACATGTGCTAGTTTAAGGATCAAAACTGACAATGACCATACAAAAAAAAAAAAAAAAAAAAAAAAAGTCCTTGCTTAAAACCCTCTCAAAAAAGGTTAAAAAAATAACAAAAGAAGAAAAAGAAAGGTAGAAGATTTCAGAAGAGGTTCTAGAGTTACTGAAAGCTCGTAAGAATCACAGTCAATGAATATATTTTTGGGGATGTATCAATCAGTGTTAACAGATAACCAAAAATATTATCAATTATTACTGTAAAGTTACTATTTGCTTTCAAAATTATACATGGTGCAAGGTATTACATAACAAAATAAAATAAAAAATTACTATCTTCGAAGTTTCAGCACTAAGCTTTTAATTAAGGAAAAGCATCATTACCATACATGTTATCTAGCTTATAGTTTGCATTGCACTTTTCCTATGCTTTTTATCCAATAAAATTATTTTTTTCTTGCTTGTATTTTTAATTTGACATTTTAAACTTTATGCTGATGCAGGTTTTTTTTTTTTTCATTTGCATTAACTCTATTAACCTTGAATTATACAAATGACATACACCCAGTAAGCCCCATCAGGAGTTATGTGAAATTTTTAAACAGGATTAAATTAATTAAAAATTGAATCAAAATCAGCAAATCTGTGAAAACTTTTAGCTTTGTTCCCTAGCCTGGACTATTTATAAACAAAACTATAACCACATATATGAATTACAGAATCTCCTCCAAATTTATTTTTGTGTCAGTACTCTTTTATTAACTAGTACCCATGATAAATTACCAATAATGTATTGCTGCCTTTTGGTAATGAAATACATTTGCTACATAAACAGAAATGGATCCTCTTAATTTCTGAACAGTATTGTTTTGAAATCACATTCAATAGCACATCAAACAGACGGCTATTCTCAGCTTGTCTTTGCCTCCATCAGAACTCAGCTTAAAAGAAAGCACACGGCTTCCCTGAAACCAGTTCCCACTTTTTATTCTTGTATTTTATTAGCAGCTGTAGATACTTCATTTCCATCAAACAGCTTCCATAATTAAACCCCTCAAACCAGTTCCCACTTTTTATTCTTGTATTTTATTAGCAGCTGTAGATACTTCATTTCCATCAAACAGCTTCCATAATTAAACCCCTCAAACCAGTTCCCACTTTTTATTCTTGTATTTTATTAGCAGCTGTAGATACTTCATTTCCATCAAACAGCTTCCATAGTTTCTGCGAGTAAGAATTGGAAAAAGTTGCGATTTTTTGGGAAAATACCACACTCCAAGAAATAACAAGACTATTTCTGCTTCATTAGTCAATAAATCTAGTAAACATATGATGCAAAATGCAGTTAAAATTGAGACATGATGAAAATAATTATCTTGAAAATGATAATATCTCCTACCTTCCTGAAAAAAGTGATCCCTAACATATCATAGATCTCTACCCCAGAAAAAAAGAAAACGAGAGAAATTTCTAGAAGAATCTTATTGCTCACAGGAATTGATCAAAGAAAGTATTTTTGGTGATATATCGATAGGTATAGGCTAATATACAAGTACCTGGAAGCGTACAAATGTTTTATGGCAGGAATCGGCAACCTTGTAGTTGTGGTGTGACAATTTGATTCCCGAAGCAATGTATGCATAGTTAGGGAATAGAGGTCGAGAATACAGATTTAGAGTTTTATTATATATTAATTATGCAACATTTAAAGGTATTTATTAATATAAAATAAACAAAATAAAATATAACTATTCCATCAATTTAAATTATACATAGATTGTGCATTAGTCTTTTAAACATATTTATTAAAATAAAAAATAAACAACATAGAACTACAACATTATAAGAAAATAAGACATGCAACATGATTCACTTCAGTATTTTCATCAAAAGCAATGCTAATTGCAACAGTTCTTTATAATTCAGAATTCTGTTTTACTATTTGCTATTTCAGTTATTGGTCTTTCAGTAGTTTGTGCAGAAGCCAATATTTCTTTAATTCAGGGTAATATTGTTTGTAGATCTGGTAAATCATTGAACAATATTTCATCACTTTTTAAAAATGTGCCCTTTAATATTTTTGCAATCTTTGAAAGTTTTGCCTTTGGCAACTACACACAGTGAGAAATTACAAAACTACATTCATCGCTAGATTTGGTTCCAATTGTTTGACAAAAAAATGTAACTTGTTTCTTATATTCAGAAACAGCTCTTTTTATAACTTCAAATTTCTGAAATGTGGATTGACGTTTAGTTTGAAAATATCTTTGTATAATCAATGTGCAACAGGCAACGTTTTGCAACATAACATACATACAACATGATTCTTTTTATGTATGAATATGTCCAAGAGTCTTGAAAACTGGGAACATCAGGATTTCTTATTTTAGTAGACATTTAATTAAATATGTAGGTATGAACTGTTACAATAATTAAACAAACAAAATACAAGTTTTAACAATAAAACTAAGAATGTGCTGTAAAGTTAAAAGTAACCTATACTGCACAATGTGCATCGATTAAAATCACATGCATCAGCACTACAAACCGAATGAAAGGCGAAAACATGCGAGAGGCGCGAGGTGGGTCGGTGAGGAGAGAAGAGACAGAGAGATGTGTCTTTATGTGATAACTTTGTAGTGTGGTGTAGAGCGCCACTGAGAATTGTACTTCATACCAAATCTAGCACGAGTGCCTTATATTGCTGATGCTTGTTTTACAGTATTAAAAACCTCAAAAGAAATTTCATCTCATTTGATACAGAATGTAAAATAAAAGTAACAAGTAAATACTTACCATTCCGCACTAAATGAGTTACAGCTTATATCTAAATTTTGAAGCAGTTTACATATCTCTAGTTCTCTGAAGTAGACAAGATCTCCATCTACAAGATCACAACTAGAAATGTTAAGGTACTTGAGTGTTCCTCGATGATTAAGACAGCACTCCGAATGTAAAGAAGGTTTTCGCCTCTTAACATTGCAACGTACAGTTTCACAGACATTATGGAATAAAGTTGGCAGATGTCCTCTCAGTGAGCATCCTTTTAAACTTAAACGCTCTAAAATAGGTAAATTGTTCAAAGTTTTTGATAATGTTTGTAGATGAGAAGGAAAATGTCTGATCTCCATAGAACTATAATTTAAATTAAGAGCTTTCAAATTCTGAAATTTCTGTAATTTCATTATGGTAGTTCTCATACTAGGTTTGATGCTACAAAAATCAAATTGGCACACTTTCAATTTCTGAAAATGATAAATAAATAAATTAATACATGCTAAAATTGAGACAAAAAGCACAAATACAAATATATATGTAAGGTAAAAATAAGTAAATAAAAATTATAATTTAAAAAGCCTCTTAATTGCTCATTTTAAATTTGGGTACTTCCCCTCTCGTAACAATTTTCTCTAAACTGCGTCATAGATGAAAACTAACTCAGCATTATGTCATCTTAATCTTCTGCACTATAAGTTTTACCCAATCAGATTAACGAAAACTTTTACTATAAATACCATTGAAATCCAACTACCCTCCCTCTTTCTTTGCCTATGCTTGCTAGCCAAAGGACATCTCTTACTTGGCTGCTTCTGTTTAAAATGTAATGCATCATCATGAAATTTGAGGGGTGGAGTTTGGTCCCATTGTGATGTGCCATGCCATAGGGCAATCAAAAAGTAATAATGAGATATTCGGATTATCAAATGAGTTTGTGATTCTTCAAAAGTTCTCCACATCTTCTACTATAAAATGGATATCTTCAGTGATTTTTTAACCTCAATCCACTTGTGACTGCAAAATAACGTCTTCTCATGTCAAGCACACATCTCATATATACATATCAACAGTTTGCATCAAGTTTTTAAAGACAGATATACCGAGAAAAAATTATCTGGATAAACATATTTCAAGCTATTGAAGATTTGATTCAAGCTAATCACAATAAGGTGAATATTGCAATAAACAATGTCACATATGTCCTCTGGTTTCTTAATGCATACAAAAGTTATATTTGTACTATACATACAATATTACATATGGCAATAAGCCTCTTTTTATATCTTACATTTATTTTATTGACTAAAATTAGTGATTATGCTTGAGAATCCCATAGTAAAAAATTTCAACATTTACAGGAAAATCTTATGTTCCAATTCTTAACAATTTTCTTTTTAAATTTATATTACAAGATCCATAATTCTTGAATATATATTATACATGTGCACAGTATATGTATATAAAATACCACAATAAATATTACAAGATCAATAATTCTTGAATATATATTATACATGTACACAGTATATGTATATAAAATACCATAATAAGTGTAGCTTCAATTCTTAACAGCATAACAAGATACTTTATTTATTTATTATTTTTTTTTAAATTCAAATCTAGAACCTGTAATAATCCTGCAGAATCTTTATTAAAGAATGGAATAGAATTACTCTCATGTTAACAGATTAACAAGCTCTTTCCCTGATAACAATATTGTTAAATATGTGTTACAAACTTGGAAGTACATTGAAAGATATTAATAAATACCAAATATAAAATCAGTAACCATGTAACAAAGTCAATAAAGCCAATAAAACTGTAACCAGTAATACTAATATATAAGAAATATAATAAATCATTCACAAAAGTATCATTAACAAGCCTAATATGAACCAAATATAATAAACAATGTTATAAATAAAATACTTATGAATACCAAACAATAAGCATATTTCATGGTTAGCAACAGAATCCTAGAAAAGTACCGGAGTGTTTCTAAAGAGTCTCCTACCATTACTGAACACTGCAGAGCTTCAAAATTATATTTGGCGATTTTTATTTTTAATTGACAATCACATTTAGCACTATTTTACAGTCTGACACTAAAGACTATCTGAGGAATATCCATACTAGTGAAATTAAGAATTGGGAATCTTCAGATGTTTTATTATGTGTGGATGGTTGAATTAAATGCGCATGCGTAAAGCCTATGAGAAAAAAACCTTGTTGGTGGTTTTGAGGTCCGGATTATAGATCATTCCGGATAATGGAAGTCCGGATTTTGAACTTTGTACTGTATGCAATAGCAGATACTGTATACTGTATGTAGTACTGTATGCATAGATAGTGTATTTAATAATAGTAATAACACTAAATAATTACAATAACTCAATGAAATAATGTAAATATTTTCAATAACAGCACATTACCACTGTTATTGCAAAATATCATTAACCCATTAACCGCCAAAACTACAAGGAATGTTTCTTTTCTCATGAAAATAATAACAAATATTAAATTAAGCATTTATAACATTAATTTACATTGAAAATTTAAAAAAAAATGCTCTTACCTGTGGAAAAAGCGAGTGTTGCGTTCACGCAACGTCAGCAGAATAAGACTACAGATGTTTAGTGAGTAGAATTGTACTTGTGTGATGTTTTTTTTTTTTTTTTTTTTTGAGTGGAGCGCAAGATTACTTTTTAGCTGTGTAACGTTTTATAAATCTACAAATCACTTTGCTTGTAATTTATTTAATATTAAAATATACATTGTATTTCTTTTACAAATACAGATTATTTCAATTGAAAGATTAAAGCATGAAAAGCTTGATTACAACCATGATGTAAAGCTACATTACATACTTCGCATCTATAAACAGTCTGCCTATGGTCTAAGTCTTTTGTTATCAACGGACTTTATGATAAAATGTCTACCATCTCCATGCAATGGTTTTTGAATGCTGAATTTACTAGGGCATCCTGCTGCTGATCTATTTCTGGCTAATTCTACACTCTCAATAGGAGTTTTCAAAAGGAATAATGCATTCTCGCGTCTGAAATCTAAAAGATACTTTATATTTCCAGTAGTAAAAAGTGGTGATATTCAGTAAGTTTAGATACGGTCTCACCTCATATAATTTATCAGTATTGTCAATTTGACTATTGTCAAATGCAAGTTCTGCTTCATATTCCTGTACTGCAAACGTGATATCGATTCTCGTACAACAGGAACAGAAATGTCCTTATCAAAAGACCAATACATTTTTTTCTTGAGGTAAAGAATGATATCCTGTAAGCAATAATATTCCAATAAATCTTCTCATATAGGCTTCAGATGCAATAAATTCTGGGCTTTTTTTTTGCTGAGCGTATATATTTGTATGTTCAACGAGAAGAGAGTAAATGTGTAAACCAAAAAGAAAATCGAAAATCTTTGCACTAGTTTTACCTTGTATTTTGTCTTTTATAATTTCTCTTTTAAATTTTTCTTCATGTTCTTACTAAGAAATAACTAAAAGTTCCTTTTCTATCCACTTCAAGATTTCAGTCTTCTGCTTTTTAAACTTTTTAGTATGACTATAACTGCTTTTAGAAGGCTAAAACTTACTTCTTACATGAATTTCAACTTTCCCAGCAGTATCATTTGGTAAAATATCATTATCATTATTTAAAACATTGCCATTCCTTTCTTCTTCGTCACTAGCAATTTCTAGGGGAACAACAACAATAGCAGTTTCATTCTGGTCATTATTAACATTATCATCATCTGTTTCTTCATCAAAAAATCTTTGAAGGGCTTCTTCTAATGTAAGATACCTCATTCTAGGCATTTTTAAACAACCAGAACATGAAACAGAACATCGAAAGGAATGAGTGAAAAAGGAGATAGACTACCGTTTTCTGCTGACGTTGCGTCAGCGCAACACCTGTTTTTCCTTCCTTCTCAACACAAATATAAAAATCTTACCCATGTAATGTTCTGATAAACGGTGAGACTAAAAATAGATCACTCATAAAGATGGCGATTCTTTGGTTAAATATTTTCTGCAAAAACACCCGGTCGAAAATTTTGCTTAAAGTATGAAATTAATTATTATAAACAGAATGATTGTTGAAGGAAAATATTTTTTTACAGAAATAATCTTTATAATATTCCCTACATAAAATCATCTGCTGGTATAAAATATCTTAGGTAGTTATATTTATATACGCATTTAATTTGACCGTTGCCTCAACGCAACACCAGCGGCTAATGCGTTAAACCAAAAAAGAGGAGAAAAATAACTTTCCAATAATTTTTTACAAGAAAAAAAAAAGAAGTTGGTTTTTAATTGAAAAAGAATATTTATTGCAAACATATATATTATTATATAAATATTTTACATTTTAATTAGGTATTTTTCCCATTTGTTCTGGTGAAAATTTAGGAAATTTCAATTGCTGGTATAAGTAATTGCTAGCTTTAGCAATTTTGTGCAAAATACTGTATTCCAGCAGAATTTCTTCGAATGCAAACAAATCTCAAAAGTGCACATGTTAAAACTGAGTTTGAGACAAAAAATATTCTGAGTTCTAAATAAATAAAATTCTGAGTTCTGTTAGAATTTGAATACAACAAAACAAATACATATGAAAATGGTAATATTGCTGGTAAAAACTAAAGAACTATTATGCCCATGTGATTATTAGATTTTGGTGTATTCTGAAAATTTCGTGACTTTTACAAATGTGGTTGCATTAATACACAAGTACCAGTTTTTAGCCACATGGGAGATATTTACTCATGCTTCTACTTACGCTCTACTTTTTTGTATATAAGATGGATTTAGATATTTTCTATTGAACAGAGCATTCATTTTAAAAAATTTTCTTAATTATAAATTTTTACAGTAATGACAATATATTCTTATAATACTACACCACCATATTAAAAAAAGTTTCCAGAAAAGGAAGTAGTAGCATATGCATGAAGCTTGCAGTAATTTTATTTGATTGTCAGAAGGCATTAGACTATTCTTTTTAAGATAAAGTGTATCACGTGCATCAGTGTAATTCATGTTGTGGTGTATATAAAGAAAAAGTATCCTTCGTTCACATGACATGTACTGCAACATGAAAATGCTTCGAGTCACAATGATTGTTTTCCTTGGTAACTTGTGCATCATCTAACAGAAAACTGCCAACTATGTTCATTGATAATGTTGCATACTAGGCACAAGTGCTATAAATTTTAGCAGAGATGGAAAATAAGAGAAATGGAGCACATTTGCTAAAAGTCCTCCACAACTCAGTTAACAGATACTGAATCACAACAACGTTCTCAGTCGCATGGTCAATTTAGTATCTGAATTCTTAGTGTAAAAACATATACCTAGTAAGAACTTTTTACTGCATATCTCTTGTGATTCAAACGACCAATGGAAATTATTTATTTACACTGGAGAAACTTATATAGTAGTTGGTTTTACCAGTGACAAGGCATAAAATAATAAATATTAACTTTTATTTATTTATTTTGTACTTAAAACTTATTGCTGACAATACTTGCTTTGAAAAGAAGAGCAGTAAGTGCACTGTTAAAAGCAATAAGAACAAAATTTAGTATTTTCTGCTCTAGAAATTTAAGCACGTCTTCAAAAACTCACCAACTTGTTAGTTAAAAAATGTTTGTTTATTATTACAGCTTACAGGTGTAGATCTGTTCATAAATAATAATAATAATAATAAAGCACTTTATTAAGCTATTTTATGAGGGAAAAAAATCTATAAGGTCACTATTTGCATTTTTATAGGAGATGCAACAATCTTCAAAAATTTTCAAAACAGTGTCTTTTGCTTGTTGAGTTTTCTACCAAATAAATTCCAGATGTATTTTAAACAAGCATATAATGCATGCATATGTCGATTTGTATGAGTGCTGTCACATACATGCTTGAAGCTACTCTAAAAATATGGCAATTCTACCAACTGTTAAATTTGGAGGGAGGGTTAAGTAAATAATCAGATAATACCTAAATTAAATTTAATGTGGTCATTAGCTAACTTTTGATGCCTATATCTTTTTCTCTCAAATACTGGCCTGTGTCATCCCTTTACTGAAAAGATCTCATTTACCTAGCTAATATACCAGCTTGAGAGATACAAATGTTATGTAAAAAGGCTTATTAAGGACTTACAATTCATAGTCCTACAACAGCAAATCGCTGAAACTTGTAAGTTATTTTGATGAACAAAAGTTTAGGAATATCAATACAAAACACTTACTCTCATCCTAAAACATGATATTTTTATATATAGAACTAACACAGGAAATGCAACACCATGAAAGCTTGAGTAGGATGTGATGAAAATGCAGGCAGTCACAAAATGCATCATACATAGATAAGATATTTTGATTTTAAAAAAGAAAATGCAATACTCCAACTAAATATATAGAGGGGGGAGTGATAGGAAATAAGATAATTTCTTGCAATAATATAAGAAGCAATATTTCAAGATAGAGATGAAATCAGCCTGCAGATACTGTCTCGAGGAATGAATAATCATATACTTTCCACCATCCTCCCCAGTCTGTCCTTTGATTGTAAATGGGTCAGTTTTCAGCAAATGACAGCCAATCATGTCCCATAACTGCTCGATCAGTGTGACATTTGAAGACCACAGTGGACAAGGAAGTATTCCTTACCTAAGGCTTATCTGCTGATTGCAGTGTGTGGCCGAGTGCTATTTTTCTGAAAAACAGCATTTTGCAACCAAGACCCAATCTTCAGCACTTCACTCATATATAGTGCCATTATTGTGTCTCTGATGCAAAACACAAATAACTGACTATCGATGGAAATGTTCCCCCACTGGTGAACAGTATGAAGAACAGGAGCAGCGGGATTAGACTTGATACCACGTGGCCTCATGCTCTTATCAGCAACTGCCATTGGTGAAATAGAAGTGAGACTCATTGTTATACACCCTGTGCCATTCAGTCATACAAGAGGCTCTGTCTCAACATCATTATAATCATACATCATTATATATCAATATAAATGTTGATACCATCAACATCATGGCTTTGCATCAGTGGCAATCTTCATAAAGAGTAGAATGACAGAAGCTGCTTTTGATCAATCTTCTAGAAATTGCTCCTGCTGATATTGAAGCTTTTGAAGCTCCCTAGACATTCTGCATAATTTTGAAAATTGTGCTTTGTACAGTTGCCACCACATGTTTTTACATGCACATATTCAAATGTGTTGATGTGCTTCTATATGCTTCGATATCTCAGCCTAGATTCATACACCCTTCAATACATCTCCAAACCCTTTCCATAGTAGATGCATGCATGTGTTTTTAAGCTGCAATACAGCAGAAGGGCCAAGTATCATTCATAGACCTAAAACTGAACCCTTCCTGGAAACATCTCATTGTTGAAACTCACAGAGGCATTTCTTCAGTTATATGTATTTTCTGAGATGAAAAACAATTCAAAACAGAGGTTTTCCATGATGTCAGAGAGCATCAACTGTTAATTCATGTGACATTTCCTTCTCTTTTATCTTATCATGTCACAAACTTAAAATTTCAGACCATTCACACAAATTGCTCAGCTGCATATTCCTTGCAATTTTCATAATTAGACAACCGAATTCTTATGGTGTGGCACTTTCTCTATTGGCTAATGTAATAAAAACTCAACATTTATATATATATTATTTTGCATATATCAAGAAAAGAATCTATAAAGCACATAAAAATGCAAGACATTTCTTACCTATATAACCTGTGACACAGACAGATATTCAAAATTCTCTACAGTGCAGGTTTTGCACATGGAAAATCAAGTAAAAGAGAAAAAAAGCAATTATACATTAAAAATTCAACTCACTTCAGGATCTACTTGTTCAAGAAGAGCTAAAACATTCTTATCAACAAACAGGCTGTTACAGAAGTTCAGACCAGTAATGCTAAGGTTCAACTTTGAAACAAAAGTTGAGTTGTAAATAACCTGAGTGAGAGATTTTAATTCCACATCGGATGTTATGTTTACATGGATTTTCAAAATGTCTGTAAAAATTTTCAAAAATATCTATAAATACAAAACAGTGATAAGTTTAATATCCATAAACAGACTGGTAATTTCAGAGGAGGAAATAAAGGAAAAATGCATAGGAAAGTTATGAAGTCAGTTGTTTTCAAAAACATTTTGTGCCTAAGATTAACTCTAATCCTTTCAAAAAAGGTCTGGTAAAAACATATAAATGCAAGTAAAATGTAAATAATTAACAATCATACATTTTAATTAATACTGACATCTTTACAAATCAGTTATACATTGGTAATGTTATGAATGCTGCTATATGGCATCAAGATTTCCAGTTAAATTAACAATACTTAATTATTAATGTGACTATATTGGAGCAATTTGACCATTTTTTACAGATGAAAATGCAAAAATTAACTTATCATGTGCAAGCCAGCAATATTCACCATTTTTTTAACGAAACATTTCTCTGCTATCAATATATCAGAAGAATATATTAGCAGAAGTCAGAAAATGTTACCCAAATATTCGTAAGGATATCTAATGAAAAATAATTAAAAAATTTTAAAATACAAGTTTAAATTATTAAATAAAGATTACATGATACATTCAATAACCCACCTTTTTCACAAAATACTTCTTTAATTTTTTTTAGTGCGGTTCTTTTCCCTATGTACACAAGAATTTATTTTTGCTTTAGAAGCATCAGAGAACTGAAGAAACTTGACACTGCACACCGACTATCTACCAAATGCACCTCATGATTATTCCCTTTACGTATTTTGTGACAAAATACTGTATTCCTACATAAGTTTTATTGCAATTTCTTCTATCACTCACAAATCAGACAAGCGGTATTTTAAAACTTACTATTTATTCAAAAAAACTGTTGAAACTTAGAAATGCAACAAAAAGAAAGCATATGAAAATGACGACATTGGTTAACTAGAGGACTGTTATCAGCAAGGTTCCCTAAAGAATGTTTATGTATGTGGATGCAAGATTTTAGCACATTTTGAGGAATCCTATTATACAGAGAAAGAGAGTTATATTTTAACATGTCTGTTATCTTGTAATATATTTTTAATTTAGAAAAGTGTAATTTGACATTATTTGGATGATGAAAAATAGCAGATGAAACCTATGTGTACCCTGGAAAGAAACCATTTCAAAATCCAGAAGTTCAGAAATTCTTTAAATTTTGTTGCAAAATGCACAGTGAGATAGCTTCTCTGCAATGCAGAAAACTATGGGCTTAGGGCTGCCAGAAAGTGACAGAGAAATGCAGGGTTGCAAAATTGCCCATTTGGCGATATGTCATAGACGGAGTGGAACATTCTAGAATGCATTCTTAGCAGTTTTCTCAGGAATATTCTCGAAGGTATGTTACAGCTATATATTCTCTGCTTGTACAAGGAAGAAAGTAGTGTCTTGAGTTCAGAGATTAGCTTAACAGCGATCACCCGAGTCGGGAGCTGTACTTAGTGCTTTGTTGTGAAGCTGTCTTCACCGTTATAGCCTGAAGCCTGTGCTGCTGATTGTTTCAGTATGTTTGTCGTCATTTTCGATAAGTGTAATTATATCTTTGGAACTTACCTATGTAATAGTGCTTACTGGTAAATAAATTGTGTTTTGATCAAGTGTTCATCAAGCGTTATAATCAATTACTCCAAATCCGCAAACCCATAGAATGCAACAATATTAATTATTTTACACTTGCTTTATATAAAAAAAGTAAACTTTTCTGCTACATGGTGATACATGCCCGACTAATGTTCTTATCATAAACACGGTCAATAATACATTTTCATTGGATTCGTCATCACTGCGTTCACTGTTCGTTGAAGTATGAAGGTCATCCAACCCCTTGCTGTTTGGATTATGTCATCTTTTTGCCTGTTTGTTTCCTCTGAGCTCTCTCTTCCTGCTCTTCATAAGGATAGGTAATTCAGTGTTTCTTTTCTTTTTGATGCAGTTAGTACAGTGAGCATGGCTGAAACTCTGGTGTTAGAAGAGACATTTCCACAACTAATGGAAAGAAAAAAGAATCTCGAACAGCGATTAAAAGAAAGTGGTGAAAACCCTGCTGATATTGAATCTTTGCACTCGATTAATCAAGAAATAGAATCTCTTACACTCGATTACGACCTAGTTCAAAAGTAAAAACCCAACATTAACCCCATACACCAAGGATGTCAAACTCGCGGGCCACATGTGACCCACAACAAATATTTTTGCGATCCGCCCAATATATTGGCAAATAATAATATATAATAATAAAATAACATATTGACGAAGAAAAAAATGAAATGTTTACTGCTAAGTAATTAACGATAATTTATTCAGTGTTGTTAGATTACTCACAGCGAGCTGACACATACACTACTTAAATTACAAATGCGTGTGAGTAGCTTGCGTTCAGCTACCTTCGGCTTTTGGGGAACACGTGCACTCAAAACTTGTACGCATCCCCTGATAGCCGAATGTGGCCGAACTCATGGTCTCAGTTTTCCAATCATAGTTTTATACGATATATTGGTACATGCCTGTGCATGCACTTTGCTTTATTATTAATTATTACTTAATTCATATTGTTACGGATTTCATAGTTATTTATTTATTTAGTTTTTTTTATTTAGAATTGTAATTAGATTTGCTTCATGTTGCCTTAGCAACGCAGACGATTTTTGAAAAGATAGCTGCATTGGAAGGTTAAAAATAGAACAGCGCGTGCATTTAATACCTAATAAATAAATATCTCGTAATTGCTGTTGCCATCCACAAAAATCCAGATATTTATAGATGTTTCCAGTATATTCGAGAAATTAATTATACAGCTTATAAAAGCCAAGAACAAACAACTCATCTCAGTAGTAGCTGTAGTTCTAGCGAACTGTTTGTTTACTTAAGTAAACTTTACTTAAGTGTTTACTTAAGTTTGTTTACTTGCTGTGATTGATTTGTAGCGATTTCGCTGGGAGATAGAATTAGTTTCTCTGTTTTGAATTGATTTTTGCTAAACGTTTGATATTTTGATATTGTTAGAATATTTTTGAAGAAATATTTTAGACTTTTGATTTATCTCTTGTGGAAAGAATAAATTTTTGTTAACTTTTTAACGTTAACCGTGTTTATTCCAGCCCTTTGTATTCAGTATGTCTATATCAAAACCAAGTGGTAGTAAAATTAAACGAAGAATCGCTGACGAACATAGAATATTCGAAGTAAAATGGGAATTAGAATATTTTTGCTGTGAAATAAAAGATAAAATAATCTGCTTGATATGTAATAATACTATTAATGTACCAAAGTTATATAATATTAAACGTCATTACGAACAAAACAAATCGAAATATAACAATTACGAAGGATTAATGAGAGAAGAAAAATTGAAAGAGCTCAAGTTAGGAGTGAAAAAGCAACAGTCCATGTTTAGCAAAGTATTGCAAGAAAGTGAAGCGGCGATACATGCAAGCTACGTCTTGTCCAAGTTGATAGCTAAACATTCGAAGCCTTTTACTGATGGTGATTTCATCACGGAATGCCTAATGAAAGCTGGAGAAATTGTTTGTCCTGGAAATGTGAAGGCTTTTCAATCAATTTCATTGTCTTGAAATACACTTGCAGAAAGAGTTACTGATTTAGCCACGAATTTAATAATTTTTCACCTCAAATAATTTTCACACACTCACTCCAAAATTCCAAGAAGCACAATTCAATTTTATTCTTAGAAATTGAAAGATGACAAACAGAGCCATAGCTAGGATTTTCAGCTCCTGGGGACACCTGAAGATTTTGCGTCCCCTTATGTGCGCCAAGAATGCAAAATACAGTCAAAAGTCTTTAATCTGGACGTCCATAATCCGGAATGATCTACAATCCGGACCTCAATCCTACATACTTTCTGTGCATGCATCAATGCATAATGCGTTAACGCATGCGCATAATACCTTTACACATGCATATATGCGTCTACGCATGTGCATAATACGTTTACGCATGTGTGTTTAATGTATAACAGACGGTACAAGCTAAGCTAAAATTATCTAATTATCTATTTCAGTTAATGTTGCAGATTGCGTTCTTCCTTAATCTTCTAATTGGATCCGGCTTATTATTTTTTACTGACTGCTAGAGCAAATTTATAAAAGTAAGCTTGAACTTTTGATTATGTCAAAAAGAATTTCCGATTCTGGAGCTACCAAAGGATCTACAAAGCAAAAGCATGTTCCGATGTCCATAAAAAAAAAGTGGAATTGCTGCAAAAAATGGATAAAGGCATATCCTTTGATTCTCTAATCATTCCGAAATATGTTTATGAATTTCACGCAGCTCTGCGGGGGGGGGGGGGGCAACGCGGCGCGCAATGAACTGGAAGTTGATCTGTCAGCACTATCCTTTTCTTCCGGGCAGATCTTTTTATTTTATTCGGCTTATAATTCCTTACTAAATGTAGTATTTCATCTCGATGTACTCTGTTTTTGATATGATTTAAATTAAATATCAAATTCCTCGACATTATAAATATCACGAATACACATCAAATAGTTTTCTGGTTGCAATTGTCTAATTTTCGACTATGCGTAATGTATGCTTTACGCATGCGCGCGTTGAAAGAAATGTTTAAAAAAAGCTTTCTTTTTTTTTTTTAATTTTGATACCCTTTAGATCATAATTGCTCTTTATTTCATAAATTATGGTTTCATATTTTTAATTTTATAATTTCTGCATGCCATCTTACCAGATTTAAACTGATGATCTATAATCTGGAATCGCCGAAGTCCCGATGAGTCCGGATTAAAAACTTTTGACCGTATTTCATTCTAAAATTTGTAACATCAATTTGGCACTCCCTGGATGCTACGCCTGGGATCAGATATCCCCCCTTATCCCATCCTAGATTCGCCACTGAAAACAAGTTAGCTAAAGCACTCATTAAATGTCTTCCTAAAGATACTGATCAAAGATATCGAAATGAACTAAAAGAACTTGGTTTTCATGTAATTAAGGTCCAGCAATTTGC